CGGGGGTGGGGGGTGTAGGCTGGCTCCTGGAGTCCTGCCCCAGGCTCAGAACTTTGAGTCTCTGCTTCTGACCTATGTGATTAGAACCGAGTACAAGTAGACATTCCAAATCAATGGCACTTCTGGGCCCAGCGTGGACTATATTTGCTTTCTATGAACAGAGAAAGTTTATTTGCAACTGATACCACTTCTGGTGCCTGTGATACAAATCTGACTATTCCCAAAGCTGAAAAAGGCAGGACAGAGGCCCACTGATGCCAATGCTGAGTGCTGGGATATTGTCCAGTTCCCAACATTAATGAAGTCAGACTGGTGCTTTTGTACCCAAAGCATTTGCACATGACCCGTTCAAGTGATTTTTCCATTCAGGGTACAAACGGAATCATCAGTGACTCATGTTTTAACCGTGGATACAGCAGGGTAGTGAACATAAGTGACCTTTACAACAGCCCCTGCACCAAGGAAAAACAGCCGGTTCTCCCATCCCAAAAGTTGCAAATCCACGGCGCTGGAAACTATCAGGAATGTCAGAAAAGTGTCCTTAGACTCTTCAACGTCAGTTACTGCTCTTACTCCAGCTGTGCCTTCAATAATGTTTTCTTGCCGAAACTTCAAGGACATTTTGGGGTAAGTCTGTGAAATGATAAGGTAAATTGGTTAGGATGATTTTGGCTGCAAGTTATAGAATATGTGACCACAGAGAGTGGCCTGATAACATGAGGGCTGGGGATCAGCTTTCCATGACCTCCTGTGGAGCTCGGGTGGCAGCCACTGCTGGCAGCATCATGTCTTCACGTGTAAAGCCAAAGCAGGAAAGAAGGAGGTTCCTCCTGCAGACACCTTCAGTTTGCAGAAGCGCCAACAAACATCTTTAGAGTTGCCATTGGCCAGAATTTAGTGAAATACACACCTCTAAACCAATCTACGGTAAAGGGGAACGGGTGGCCATGGTGGGTTTAGACGGATCCGTTCTCATCCTCTGGAACCGGGGAGCCTTTCCTGAGCACACTGCTTTCCGCGTGCTGGCTAACACTGGGAGCCTGTCAGCCAGGAGGAGGGAGCTGGCTGCCGGGCCGGCCCCCAGTAGGATCTGCCGTAGGTGCCTTCCCGGATGTCACAGAAGGAGCAGCGGCGGTCGGATGTCTTGGCTAAGGTTTTCCTCTATAAAGACATTTAGGAAGTAGAAACTCAGAAACCCCAAGGAAACACTGAAGGTAATAGATTCATTTTCATTACATTTTGAGGACTCGGGGGACTATTTGAATCCCAACTCCAAATTCCTTCTTTTCTTAACTACTCCCAAATAAGATAAAATATTCGAGCAGAGGTAGAGGAGGTGCCCCCTGATCTACTCATTATTCAAATGTCATATTTTGCTCCTGGAGACCAAACATAATCAGGGTACAGTCCTATATTGCAAAATTGCTGCCATCAATCACGTGACAGCCATTGGCCAGGCACTATGTACGCAATATCTCACCCACACTTAAGATATCACTCACAGAAGCAGGGGCTTTTGTCTGCTTTCACACTCTTTCTAACTTTTCCAGAAAAACAGGTCAACATGTGAGGAGGGAGGTTTAACTCTCCTCCAGGACCCCAGCCGGAGAATTTCTCCCAAGGTCTCTTGGCCCGGCCCAGTGTCGGAGAAAGAGCTCTCTGGAGAGAGCACAGGCCCTATAGCAGTCACACCTGGCTTTAATCCCCGCTTTGCCACTTGTGAACTCTGAGCGCTTCATCCTTTGGCCCTTGGGAAAAGGACCATGGGCAAGGTAACCTGCGCTTACCTTCACCAGGGCCCAGACCACAGCTCCCCTCCCCTCAAGGTTCCCGAGGGCGATACGGACAGGACAATGACTGGCAGAGTAAAACTTGGTTATGAGCTGGCTCCAAACCCAAATTCAGAACAAACTGGAACCTCACCTGGATGCGCTGTGGCTGAGTGGGCACCGGCTGCCCGTGTTGGGCTTTTTTTAGGCCAAGGCCCTTGTCTTGGATGCAACCACTAGAAGAGAAAGGAGGGAGCCACAAAGGGGGGAAGGTGGCCAGGGGTGCTGGGGACAGCCAAGGGCCTTTTCTATTCCAGGCACTGCCAGAAAGTACATCTGAAGGGAAAGGAATATATCTGGTGTGTTGACATTTTAACTTTGAAAGCTTTGCCTCCTGGGAAACATGGTCCAGTTCTTGCCTCGGAGCTTGAGTAAATGCTTCCTATGGCAGGGGGGAGGGAGGCTGGTGTTGGTAGAATTTCCTGCCTTTAAATGTGATGCCTCCAACCGAGGTAGGGAGACTTGGAGTTGGAAAAGGGTGGAAGAGCCTGAACTCCCCCCCTAGTCTTTTTTGTTTGGCCCCTTAGACTCATTGAAACTGTCCTCACAGCCATCTGAACCTCAGTTTGGCAGTCTCCCTAGATTGCTTCCTCTGAGTAGGGTCTTTCTTCTCTGACTATAGCCCTTAGGGTGAGTACTGTACCTGCACCTGTTCCTGTTCTGGCAGCTGGTTTCTGTTTCTGGATTTTTTAAAAATCCTCACCGGAGGATATGTTTTTCATTGATTCAGAGAGAGAGGAAGGGAGAGGGCAAGAGAGAGAGAGAAACGTCAATGTAAGACACAAACATCGATCGGTCGCCTCACGTACACACCCCGACTGGGGCAAACCTGCAACCCTGGCATGTGCCCTGACCAGGAATGAACCCGTGATCCTTCAGTGCATGAGACAATACTCTGACCACTGAGCCACACCGGCCAGGGCATTGTTTTGGGATATTTTTTGCACCCTCTGTAATTTCTCCCTAAATCCTAAACATTTAAAAAATCTGTTGCTTCACTTATAAAATGAGGACAGAAATACCTGACTGCTAGCTGTGAGTGATACAAGCCAGACAAACAGAGATGGACTGATTAATGTCTTACAACCAGTTCTCTGGGGATGGAGGGGCTGATCTGTAGCATTTGCCAATTTGCATGGTGTAAATACTCCCACCATGGCCTATTTTAAGCTATCTACATGGCATCAACTGGCTCGCAAAACTCCTGAACTTTTAACAATTAGCTCCCATTAGTGGGTAAGTGCCAGCTCCACCTTACCACTGCAAATAGCAAAAAGCTAACATACTATAGCACCAGGTGAACCCTCAAAAAGGTTTCTCCTAACAGACCTCATTCTAGGCCTTCACTCCTGCAGGAAGTTACCATTGCCAAGTCCTGCATCTTGAAGTGTAACTATTTATAATACAAAATTTAGTTGTATTTTAATTAATTCCAAAACCTGTTAGCCTGGGTATTCTCAAGCCTCAGGGAGTTTCCAGGGAGGTGATTTTTGCCACAATTGCATTTAGCACTGATGAGCTAATTCTTAGTTTTAAGAAGGAAATATTAAGAACTGTCAGTACTCTTTTCAGTTTGGCTACACTGTTGCCTTGGTTGCTAGACAGAATCCAATTTGTAGGCAAATAAGAAACACCAAAAAGGAAGAGGGAACATCTGTGAGGAATTACTTATGTGGTAATTTAGGAATCTTTAAAAGGATCACATTGTATCATTTATATAAACAAGAAAGGGTGTAAACAAATTCAATAGGGAACCGGAACTGACGAACATTAAAAATGTGTTTCTTTACATATGTATACATACACGTGTGTATCTGTGTGTGTGTGTGTGTGTGTGTGTTTAGCTCTGAGCTTCATAGTAGCCAAGGGGAAAAATAAGACATAATCAGATACATAATTTTCATTATACCCAGCATATCCAGTCTTAGGCCAAAGCAGGGCTATTCCAAAATTGAATCCCAAGGATATTTTACAAAGGACATTTTGCTAGACAATGTCTTTGACAATATTTTTTAAAATTGCAATTAAAATTTTTTTATGGAAACTTTAACCCAGAAGCATAGTATTAAAAAGCCAACTCAGTGATAGCCATTCTGTGATAGACTGAGGCAATATAGGTTTTTGATACTCATTTTGATAAAAGAAAAGAATTCAGAGTAGGTGGAAGAGGAGAGAGACATATATTCTTCAAATCACCTTCCATAAATACTGGCTGTCTAAGCTAGCAAATGAAAAAAGATGAGGAGCTGACCTGTAGATGCTATGATCTCTGAAGATGTCCTATTCTGAGTTGTTCCTTAAATATGGACCTATAGGTAATAGACACCAAGTAAAGATTTATAAAGTAAGGTTGACTCCTAATATGGAAATCAGGGAGCTGGTCACGGAGTCTGACCTCAGTGGGAGGGCATCCCACCTGCATCTAAAGGTGAAGTCAGGAATTCCTAGAGCTAAGTCAGCATTCTCCCCCCCCC